GGAGACAGAAAGGAAGCAAAACAGACCAGTGAACCTGGGTAAGATGAATATTCTGTTTCACATTCATTTCATCCTTCATGTGAAAGAGCAGCTGAACAATACCTTGCAAACCTCTTAGGTTCAATTTTGCTGCCACACTTACCCACACAAGGTACAAAATGCTCTTGAAGAAACAGAACAGCCTTTCTGAGGCTCTTCCCTTCCCAGTATTTTGTTTACTAATCTAACAAGTGCAAAAGCCCAGGAGACCAACTTTCCTCCTGCCCACAAGCACTGTCTGTTGGCAATATCTTTGAGCACAGCAGGGGTTTAATAATCTTTCTTTTTCAAAATGACTTACAAGTGGATTTCACAAGAAATGAAAATGTTAGCGATATATTTGGATTGCCCTGCTGGCTGAGATCACGCTGAAATAAAAGCAGAGTCACAAGGGTCAATATTTCTGCTGCACAGAGCTACTGACTTCCTGCCCAGAGCAGATGCTTGAGCTGCTGCTGCTGAGTTACTCCTGCTCCTCTGACCCCAAGGAATGGAGCTGAGAGCTGCATTTGGGTTACCACAACCCTGCTGGGATGTGCCTGCACCACAGCTATCTCAGAGGCTCATGGGAGTCTGTTGGAGCATATTTGAGATGCTGAAATAACTCCCTGTTTTTCCATACAATGGGCACTAGAAAAGGCTGAGAGAGCTGTGGCAGGGCAGCCTGGAAAGAAGAAGGATCTGGGGAGATTACGACAAACAAAGCTGTGAGCAGGGTGAGACTTCAAATGCTCTCAAAGTATTTGAAGCAGGTGGGTTTTTTTCTTTCTAAATCAGTGAAGGATGGTTCATGTGCATTTTAGGTATGTTTTAACATTACCCAGACTCTGAAAATAATTCTGATTTTTTTATTTTTGAAGTGGCCAGAGCCTGTCTGCACATGGAACTCAGACTTGTTACCTTCCCAAAAACCTTCTCTATTGCTTTATCTTCATGGACAAGAAAACTGCTAATTTGCTCACAAAAAATCGTTTGAGCATTGCATTCTGAGTTTTGCTATCAAAGAGACCACTCAATTTCCACTGCAAGAATTCAATTTAGGAACACAAAAGCTGATTCAAATTCATGTTGCAGATATTTTATACATGTTTGTGTGCATTTGGATTGCAGCAGATTTATTGCTATGGACTTTCAGATAAAGAAGGAAGAAAGAAAAAAAAATATAAAAACAAAATATTAGAAGTGTTTAGTGAGGAATCAAACTACATCTCCTTTATTTATGTGAAAACATAAGATTAGGGCAATTCTGGTGTAAATAAAGATATCAGATTTATTTTTGCAAGCAGCCATGGCTCCTCTCTCATGAGTGGCAGACACACAAATGATGTCAGTGTGTATGACTAACAACTAAAAATACAGCAGGTATTTTTGTACAGGCTACGTAATATCCTATGAATACCAGACCATTTTGTTTAGTTTACATTTCTTTGAACCTTGCCCATTCACAGATTTCTCTGAGCAGTTTCCTTGTATCACACACTGTGAACTATTGTCACTGATGCACTTCTACCAGTTTTAGAAAGAAAAAAACCAACAAATCCTGCTTCATCTCCATCTGATGAAAACATCTGATTTTTCATCAAGACCTTAGGAATTCATCCCTCTCTGTGACCCTTCTAATTCTGCCAAGTTAAAAAAGAAAATCCATAAAAACATTTCCCAAGTAATCCTTTTCTCTAATATGTTGTTCTGGGTTTTTATCCCTGCAATAAATGCCTTGCTACATCTTTGCTGTGATTAGTCTCATGGGATGTACTCGTGATGAGCATTTCCCTGGGGTCAGCCTGGACACGGGGCACAATCTCTCTGCCAGTGCCAGGCCATGTTTGAATTCCCCAAAACAACCCAAGAGCCAGGACCTGGGCATCAGTGTCCTACACAGGGCAGTGCAGTCACCAAGCTGGCAGAGGAGAGGGGCCAAGACAAAGCTTTTTCATCTCTCAGCGACAGTAGGATGTATCCAAAGTGAAGGAAAAATTGAATTCCATGAGGTTTAATATTCTCCCATTTCCTCCGAGTACTGTTCAGAGCAAGTTGCTAAACCCCAAACAGGCTGAGCCATGGTCTTGCTAAGTCTGTAAAAGACAGGAAATACATCCAGTACCAAGAAGTCATGCTCAGGAAGAGGAAAAAATGCAGGATCTCCTTATAGTCAGCAGTTCTGGCACTCCCACAGTACTGAGGACTCTGAGTTCTACTGCCTGTGCTTTTAGAGGATGAAGAGGGAGCCCATCCTAATCACATGGAGTAATTTTTTTTAAACATCACAGAATCCTGGAATAGTTTAGGTTGGAAGGGACCTTCAAGATCATCTTGTTCCAGCCTTCTCCCAGTGAAAGGGTAACCTTCCACTATCCCATATTGCTCCAAGCTGTGTCCAGCCTGTCCTTGGACACTTCTAGGAATGGGGCAGCCACAGCTTCTCTGGGCCACCTTTGCTACGGCTTCACCCCCTCTCAGGGAAGAATCTCTTCCTCAAATCTAGTCTAAATCTACCATCTTTCAGTTCAAAGCCATAGCTCCTTGTCCTATCACTACACTTACTGTCTAGCAATAATTACATTTTGACTGAAACAGGGACGGGAATCTAGATTTAATTGGACCCGGGTTTTTGGCACAAAAAGTTTGAGCAGCTTCTTGGATACTGTTACACAACAGAGACCTCTTTAAAGCACCACTGTCTCTTCCCTGCACTCTTTGTTCTCTCCATGACCTTGCCGTGTTCATTTTGACATATTTTTTGCTGCAGCTGAGGAACCATTGACATGGTAACACGAAATAGGATTTGATCTTGTTCTGGAAGTTTTCCCTTTGATTAGCTCTGGGAGCTTGTCACACACTGTTCCAGCCCTGCCATGCAAACAGCCTTAAATTACACTTCACAAGGTTTCATCCTTGGGAGTAACACTGACAATCCCCGTGCACACTTCTTCTTTCCCCAAACCCTCCCCAAAAGCACGCTGACACGTGTAGAAACCTTGCCAGACTTTGCTGCAGCCAAGTTCTCTGAAATGCTTCAAAACAAATGGACCTGCAAAAACTCTGCCAGATTTCAATTCAATGTGCAAATCAGATTCTTGAAGCTGAAAAAATAATCCCTGCAGGAATGATTTGATGTAGGATGGGCACATCCCCCTTTTAATGGCAGTAATAATTAATGAGTTACTTTGAATAAACTTACATTTTCTCCACAAAGAAAAAACCCCAGGCACAATTCCATTTTTTATTTCAGCATTTAGAGTGCCCCCCCCAAAATCATTGGTCTCCATATAGGCTGCACTATTTTATGAAAACATGAAAAGTGGACTAATTCCCTCCTGCAAAGTTTTCCAGTGACTGTTGCCGTAACTTAGAACCAAGGGCTCCTGAATTAATTTCTCAAAAACATTAAACATTTCAGTGAAATTTAAATCCTTTATTCTGGGATTATTTTTGCATATAATAGTCTCAAACCTAAGGTAAACCACCTGCCAGATAGGGAATGCCTCTAAAAAATTCAGCATTCCAGGCAACCTGTTGCAGTGTTTCCTCTTTTGCCAAGAAACACAATTTCTGTCTTGTCTTTTCCCAGAGTTGTCTTATTCTAGTGAGAAGAATCTGTGTGGCTGTTATTTCATCCTCTACATAAACAGAATATTCCTGCATCCTTAAATCCAAGAGGACAATTGAACATCTCTGCGTCCAACACCTGCCACGGAGCAGCCACTCATTCCTTGTCATTGCCACCTGCCAGACCTCTATGAACACTGAGTGGAGAAAGTTATTTAGTACCCCCAAAATTTCATCCTAGCTCTTGTGCACCATGAGATCATAATCACTGCTTCCTACCTGATCAGGGAACAACCTTGAGAACTGTAAAATTATCTTCTCAGCCCTACAGACTCTAAGTTTAACCTTCTCCCTTCGTCCTTGCATTTAAAATTAACTTTGCATGTTTTACCTTTAAGTGCAACACTCTTCAAATTTCTGTCTTACATCTTCTGAGGGCTGGAGTTAACAGAAATTATTAAACTCAAAAATGCTTCAGAATCAGTACATCCAAAAATAAAAATGCAAAAATACCTTCTAATGGCTCCCTATTTTTTTTTCCAGCTACTGTTTGTAGGCTCAAGGGAGGGGGTATTTGAAGTCTTCCTTTGTGAGATAAATAGTTCCCTTCGCAAGAAAATTTGCAGCTGCTTAACACTTTTATTTAGGACACTGAATTTATTCCCTTTTGTTTGATTTCCATAACTGTTGTTTGATTTGTATGGGTCCAACACAAAGTCTCTTTTATTCTGTTTTACCTGGATGTGCAAAGCCACAGCCTCACACCTCACTCTGGGGAAGGTGAGTCCTGTACACCCTATCTCCCTTTTTTTCAGCTGTACCTGGATGTATTGACTGCCTTCAAAGCAATAACAAAGCCTGGCCTTCATTTAAACCTGGTCTTAGCATGTAATTGCAGTACTGAACAGAAATTTCACATGCACCACCATGCTTCCTCCAAAATTATATTTACAGGAGCTTCTCCCTACCCACTTATCCCAAGTCCCATGAGGGGACATTTTCTACTTAAGCAATTAAATGTTCCTGGAGGAAAGGGCCTGAAGCAGAGCTGACCTTACCCCCATTCCCTTCCTGAGCTTTTTAGATAGCTAACAGGTTTACAACACCTTAAAGCCCTGGAGCAGTGCCTCTGGAATGGCTCCAGCAGCAAATTCTGTGTCCTGGGTAAGAGAAAATGGTGCTATTACTGCACAGAGTTGTGAGTTGTGGCAGCACTTTGAAGGCAGTTAAAGTGGCAGCTAAATATGCGCTGGTTAGAAAACAATACCAGGAGCAAAATACCTTGCAAAGAAACAAATGCATAAGTGTACTTTCACCATATAGATTATTTCCACCCTTGTAAAAGAGAATTTTTACATAAAATTCCCACCTAGCAGGAGAAAAGTTTTATTCCAAATGAATTAGGTGCTCACCTTTGACTCTATCTCCTTTGTGCAGGTGAATTTCCCCTTCCCCTTGAGGTTGATATGGCTTTACAACAATAAAAAGTCTCCCAGGGACAGCACTGTAGAGCTTCCTTTTGGGACCCTGATAATCCAAGGCAGACAGAGTATCTTTGTTGGCACTGGGACTGTAAATGGCACTGGAAATTGAAATGAAAAATCATTAACAGCTTATTCAAAAGGGGAAAGTTAATAATTTACAATCACATTAGCAAGATTAAATTAAGCAGTGAATAACAAAACTGTCTCCCAGTAAGACATCAAACCCTGCAGAAAAAATACCAAACAGGAGCTCTTAAGGGTTGAAATCTTTCAGTATGAAACATGATCAATATTCACCTGACCATAATGGCCTAGAACAGAAAACACACAACATTAAAGCTTTTAGTTTTTCCGCATATTAAACTTGCACATTCCTAGGCCCTAATTAAATTCAAAATTTACATGCCCATCATACATTCCCAGCATGCCAATTTGTCAGAGGGACTTGAAAATGTCTGTATTTACAATTCTTGGGAATGGATATCTTTGTAACACAGAGTGAACAAGTGAGATCACTGAATTATTAACTAAATGGACTGAATAATCAAGTTACTTCCTCACTCCAAGGCCCAAGGTTAAATTTAGATCTGCACAAAGCCTGGTACTTGTGGTTAACATTTTCCAAATGATCATTTCTTCTGGATGGCAATCACCAGCTCATTCAGTGACTCCAGAATGTGCCCAGGAGAGCCACAGGTCACCACAAACTCACAGTCATGGTGTATAAAAAAAGGAATTGTTGAAAGGTGGTGAACAATGCAGAAGATCACTCTTAAACCTGTAGGAAAATGAGTGAACTGTCAAAAAGATATGAAAAGAGAAAGAGGCAAATACCAAAGAGGGTTGGAAACCTATAGGATAAATCATAACAAACGTGCAATACACTAGCAGTCAACTTCAAAAAAACCCCAAAGCATAAAAACTTGCAGTCTTAACCAAAGTCTAGGAAAAGAAAATATTCATGAGAAGGAGTAATCTTAATAGAGTTTGATAGGGAAAAGTTAGGCTACCAAAGGAAGAAGGGTGATTTAGTGGTGGTTTGGCATTATAACACTCTGCTTGCCTTATGTAAGAAAGCATCTCAAACTGCTTTAGGCAAAATGAAATGCAAGGGCTGGGGTCTGCTGAGTTTTCACCTTTTTTTTTTAACCAGTCTCCTACCAAAATGGGAGCCAGTAAGTCAATAGGTACAGAAGTCTGATACAAACCCACACCTATTGGATCTTTCCTATCAGGAACACTCCTGCTTTCCTGCAGTAACCTCTTCACCATTTGGAATTGCATGCCCCTTTCATCATGCTTTGTTCTATTACTGGGAAGGGATGCTGCTTATGGTTAGCCCCACTCAGGAGTTTAGAAGTGAGCTCTGCTTGCATGTCTGTGATGGAGTTTGCACCAGAAACCTCAGCCAACTCTCACAGTTGTTTAAAGAAAGCCTGGAAAAGATGACATTCAGATTTCAGTTCTTTTGCTCCATTCCTTTTTCCTTATAAGTGGAGGAACAGTCATCACCATAAAAAAAAAAATAAATTCAGATCTATAAACTGTAGCTACACATCTGATTTCCACTTGTATCAAGCTGTGTTTCTGCCTAGTCTGGTGGCAGCTATTCCCAGTGTTATCTCCCAGCATCTACTTTAACTGTGAGCACAGAAGATACATTCATTTTCTCCCTCACTGAAAGAGAAAAGGGAAATGGCACATTAAACCCACACAAGGAATGCAGAACTTCTTAGGCAACAGGCTCACTAATGGAAATCAGGGCTGCAACGTGGGGTGCAGGACTTTTTAAAAAGAGATCTTTCCTTTCCCTTGCTTGTCCCCAGCGTGGGCTCCAAGCCCAAAAAGTACCATGCCAGGAAGGAGCAGGAGGAGGATGCAGAGATTTCAAGAGAGGTGTAGACATGTTTCCCTCTCAGCCAGATGAAGGTGGCCGTCCTTGGCAGCTCAGCCCTCACTGAGGCTGTGCTGGCACCTCATTCACTCATTTCTGTGGGGTAAGTTCCACACAAAGGCTGTCCCTTTCCTTTCTTTCCCAGCTTCCCCCTCCCAACCACTTTGCTGTGAAGAGCAACAGCCTTGTGAGAATCAAGAACAGTTTGATTTGAAAGGGACCTTTAAGACCACCCAGTGCCACTCCCTGCCATGGGCAGGGACACCTTCCACTGGACCAGATTGTTCCAGCCTGGCCTTGAACAATTCCAGGGATCCAGGGGCAGCCACAGCTTCTCTGGGAATTCTGTTCCAGTGACTCGCCCCCCTCTCAGGAAAGAATTTCTTCCTAATATCCAATCTAAATCTCTCCTCTTTCAGTTTGAGAAGACAGAACACCTGAGCCACACGGGCTGCAAAGGTCACATGAACCCCTTCCAGCATGGCTTTCCAGCACCTCTCCACAGCACAAATCCCACAGACCCCATTAACCCTTTGTCACAGTCTGACCTTCTCCATCACTGTGCCCCTTCTGGCTGCTTCTGCTCCACAACCCAACCTCCTTCCCTGACAAAAAGGGCTTTTCCATCCCAGGGGAGCAACAGCTTCATGGTGACTGTTATTATTTGCAAATAATAAGCAGAGACAGCAACAGTTCCCACTTTTAGCTAACAGTAAGTAGGTGGTCATGCAGTTAAACAAAATCTGTGAGGAAAATGTCACATAAGGTGCCATTCCTGACTGCAAAATGGGCCTGTGGCAAGAAAAGGCATTATTTGCAGGAGAAATTATATATATAAATCCATGTAGTTGTCTTTAAATTTATAGAGCCTCCAGCTCTCTTCTCGGTACTTGTACGTACTCTGGACTTCTCTGAAACAAGTTTTGGTGGCACAGAGGGGACTCTGCAGCTGGGTAGCAGCTCCAGCAGCTGTGATGCTGATGCACTAAGAGAAAGACCAAAGTTTTATATCCACAAACTCTCAGGGATTAAATTTGTTCCCATTGTCACCTGAGCTACTTTTCAGAAAGGGAAGAGAAAAGTGGTTGAACAGAGTCAAAGCAAGTAAATGTTTGCTTTATCAAAAAGAATTTCTAATTGTTACCCCCAGCTCAAAGGATTGTTTATACTTCTAGAATTTAAAGCATGTTATCCCCATATTCATCAATATTCCCAGGAATATTGATGAAAATGAATTTTTATCCAATCAGCTAAAATAATCATTGGCTCTAAGTCAGAACCTCCCTCCCTGATGGCATCAGCAGAATCCAGAGGAACAGAAGAACACTCATTCTCTGAACAGAACCTCACAGTCTCTTCACTTAACTCATCATCCAGTTGAAGCCTCATTACAGACTAATCTTGAGCTGTTACTGGGCTCTGTGAGGAAATGCCACCCAATTTATACCCAAATGAGCTTTTGCCATTATTGTAACATACAACAAAGCAAGATGAGCTTGCTTTACTGCATGAAACCACTGGCATATGGAATTTGCATCCTCTTCCTTCCCTTTAATTTCACTCCTTCTTACATGCCAGACAACTCTGTCTCGCAATTCACCAGATCCCCCCTGCCCAGCAGTATTGTTTCCATCACAAACAGTGCCTGGCAGTTTGGCCAGGGAGAGCAGAGGAACAGGCAGGGTAACAGAGGCAGTGTCAGCTGCATAACATTTTGTTTTACTGACTTGAAAACTCCACTGAACATCCCTTACACCTACAAACAGCAGAGAGAAACCAACAGCTGCATTTCTTGACAATGCCCAGTTCCTCTTCTACTCTGAACAGCAGACATATATATATATATATATATATATATATACACACATATATGAGGAAACAGGACAGACAAAGCCTGATTTTCAAATGAGGAGTGTTTGGCCAAATTATGTGAGCTCTGGTTCTCTCCAGCAGCTCTCAGCTCTGATGCCTCCCAGCCTTTTTACAGCACTTTTAACTCCTTGTCCTGGTGCAGCTCCATCTCTTTCACATTTGGCAGGAGTTCCTGAGTCCAGGGCAGTGCCTTCTCAAAGCTGCAGCCCCCATAAGTGATCAAAACTCAGCCCTCCACTTTTTCCATGGCTTACAAAACCTGCATGACTCTCATTAGTCAGGTTTTGCTCTCCAGCGGGACAGAGCTGTAGGATATTTGCCCAGAATGCCTGCTAGAACATATTACTCCCTCTATTTCACTCTTTGGTTCAGCACACACCTACAGAAGAGAGAACCTAAACAGCCTCTGCTCCATCACCCATGAGCAGCTCCAACACAGGTTCCAGGCATGACCACCAGTTCTGGGAAGGGACCAGGTATCCCAGGAACAGTTTGCTTCATGTTATATTGTATATTGTATATTATATACCATATTGTTATATTGTATATAACAATAAGGATTGTTATATACAATCCTTAGTTCAACTATGGGAGGATGTGCAGAGCCAGCACCTTGAGCTGGAGGTGCAAAGTGTGTTAAGTCACTGCTGAACTTGAAAGTCTGCCTGGCTGCTGGAGCTCTGTGAGGAAACAGCTGGCTTTGGGGCTTCCACTTAAAATATTTACACTTGGGCATGGTCCACTGTGCTGAGAATGAATAACTAGACATTCTGGAGAGTGCAAATAACATAAAGGAATGTGGCAGGCCAGCATGGTGCCTTTAGGGGTACCTCATGCTGTGAAACAGCCAGAGCTCACCTGATGTGCCTGTGCTGCTGCCTCTTGGCATCCTCTCCCAGCCTGTTGAGGGACGGCGAGCGGCTCCGGGAGGACGGAGTGTAACTCCCCACAGTTTTTACAGTTCCATTGGGATTATTCTGCATCTGTTGGAGCAGGTGAGGGGAAAGGCTGCGGTGTGAAGAGGCAGAGGAGGAAGCTGACCACTCGGGGAGGTTGTTGATGTTCAGGTTGTTGTCGCTGTTGGAGCGGAGCAGGATCCGGGGGGCTGCCAAGGTGCTGGGAGGCCTCCTCCTCCTGTTGGAGTAGGTGGGAGCCTCCCTAAAGGGCACTGTGCAAAGAGAGACATGGAGGGTGAGCTCAGATTATTTCACATTCATGTGTGTTTACCGCCACAAGCAACATATGGCATTGTTTCTTCTGCAGAGACAGAAACACCACCTTGCCAGCAGAGCTGATCAAATTATCCTTAGAACATCATTAAATCAAAAACAACAGAGCAACATGAACCTGTTTGATGGCTTGAATACACGGTGAGGCAACACCAGTGCCCTGAGCCTGCTGAGCACTCTGAACTGTGCTCTAGGAAATGGGAAACACCTCATTATTGCCAAGTTTGAGGCTCAGATAGTTCATTTTCCTGCTGTGTTGTCACATTCAGTCAGAAAGGCACAGAACAGGGCTGCCCAGCAGAATTCCTGATCCATGGACTTGCAGTTTCCATCCCCCAGCTGGTACCCAAACTGTTCCAGGCCTAAGTTCAAGTTCAGGCCTAACCTGAAATCTGTGAACAGTCACCTTATCCCCATCTTGCAGGTTAAAAATCGAGGACACAGCTTGCTGTCCTGGCAGAACTCTATTACACTGCTGCAATCCCCAGGCATTCCCCTCTTTCTAATCCTGGCATCCCTACCACATCCATTACTATGGTATATGGAGCATATCACCCCAGGGTAATACACTGGCTCCATCACGTGCCACGTCCCAGAGGGAACACCAGGATATCCAAAAGCTCCAAGAAACTCCTTAATGGAAGAGCCACAACACAAAACAAAGCGAGGGCAACACAAATCTCACTCAGAGCAGAGGGTCCAGCCCTCCATGTGTGCTCCTGGTTCACACAAGCATTTACACCATCTTCCACATCTCCTTTTCCCACTCCGGTGGGTCAGTTTGTCCCAAGTGCAACTTAGAAGGCAAATCCCTCATAAAAAAGCAACGAGTTATCAGCAGATGGGATAGCATTTCCTGCCCTGTCATAAAGGAATTGACCCCAAAACCACATGCTGGCCTTGATCCCCATTATTGCAACTGCCCTCATTAATTTCTCTCAGTGGAGCTCGTGGGGTCACAGGACCTGAGCCAAAGTGCACAGATTTACATCCAAAAAGTGGATATAACAGTGGTATAACTAACAAAATGGAGCCAGGCACTATCCTGAGGGCTTCACTGAACTGTTGTAATTCTCAAAGAAAAAAATCATATGTAAATTGGGAAAGAAGACCCACAAAATATCATTCTTTATGTCTAAAGTGCCAGTAAGTGCCATTTATAAAGAGCCAGAAATGTCTACTCATTCAATACCCTTCAAAACCACACAAAAAGCCAGAATAAGAATGTCTGTCATACTGTGCAAGTAAATAAATTCACATAAATATGAATATAGATAGAAATCAATCTGTCCTGCCTTGAAATAGAGCCTTTAATTGAGAGAACAAAGCAAAATTTAAGGTTTCAGTGCAAAACTGAGAGCATATTTATAGCATAAAATAGAGATGGAACTGCGAGTAAAAGAATGGTTTGTATCATTTTCACCAGAGTCAGTTTATGATTACAGTTTATCAATTACAATTCTGAATATTTTACAATAACATCCTTTGTATTTCCAGTGAGCTGAAACTTCCTCTAGTAAACAACTCAACAACCTCTGAACAACCAAACACGGGAACAGCGTGCACAGAAAGGGCTTCAATTCATTCCCATGCTTCCTTTGAAATAAGGGAAATAGCCTTTAAAAGCTTTAAATGGGAGACAGCACACAAGTCCAATGCTTATGCTGGAAACTAGAAGAAACTCTGGATAATTTTCCTGACATTTCAAGTTTTTTCCCATTCCATATTTCTTTAAGATTTCAAAGCAGCTGAGCGTGTCATGAGAGCACCTTGGTGCTTCAGGTGTCACAGTGAAAGCCCCAGTTAGTGCTAACTTCCAGCAAACTCACAGCATTTATCTCCAAAACTGGCACATACAGACCCTTACGTTGATATGTGGTGCAGAGATGCAGCATTTCTACATTCCTTTTATTTTTGACATTTGAAATACAGCTCCAGAAAGCACTACATTGAAGGTGGGGATCTTTTCCAGGTACAACAAAGCAGAATTCAGTCAAGGGGAAAACACACAAACTGAGTACAGGGGATGTTTGGCACACTCAGGTTTGCTACCAAAAGCTCCAATGCTGTTCCCCCAGCTCACCAAAGTTTGCCTTGGATTCAGTAAAAATTGGGTCTGACCTTTAGATTTCAATTTCTCATTAAGCTGACAGCAGCCTGCCCAGCCCTTACAGCCACAGGCTGAGAAAACAAAATCCTGCCAGCGTTTTGGGGATGTTTACTGGGACTCTGGAGAGGATTGTGGAGTCTCTGCTGGTGGCAGGGGGAGGGAGGACAAGGACAGGGTGCCAGGGCACGGTGACAGCACGGACACAGAGCTGCAGGACACATCTGTACTGACAGATTGGAGAAGCCACCCTCAGGCACCAGAGGAAAGGAAATCTTCCCTTATACACCTCAGGAGCATTTTACAAGTGCATTTAAGAGTTTAGATTTTGTTTTGCTATTAATGTTCTATTCTTGAGGAGAGAACTACGAGCAAAATTAGCCTTTACTACAGGAAATAAACAGGGAAGGGGACAACTAATTACACCAATTGATGCGTGTCTAACACAAATCTTTTATAGAAAGAGTTAAAAATAAGCATTTCTGTGCCTGAAGTGATTAATATTCCACCCAACTGTTTCTTTTCCCCAGCAATCTGCAAACTGTAAGTGGGTGGGTATTTTTTTAGCTACTTCTTATCAGCATTATTTCTATTATTTTCACAATTAAAAAACAGAACTACAACAAAAAATGATGAAATGCAAATGTCCATGCTCTAGTCCCTGTTGGACTCTGCTTTCCCCTAATATTTCACCACGTTTCAGAACTGCAAGAATAACTGTGGCAAAACTTGTTTGGGAAAGACACTTAATATAAAATGACATGAAAATGCCTGAACCAATTCCATGCACCAAAAGTTTAAATTTATCATCCCTAAAAGCATACTTGAAAGTACCACATAATCCTTCCTCCAGCTCTCTGAATTCTATTCCTGGCACTTCATACATCTGAAGGTGCAATTCAGCACCATTCACTGACAAAATTCACCTAGGAAAATCCTTCCATGTCTCCAAATGCATTTCCTAGGGAACAAAAACATTTTTATAACTACTTGATTCTTCAGAGAAAATCCTAAAAGGAATAAAGTCACATCCAGCTTTAATACCCACTTGCCTAAACGGACTGTCTAACATCAAATAACGTTGAGAAAGAAATCGCAGGAATTGATTAATTATAGAGTCACTAAGCTTATCATATTAAATGTACACAAGAAAACACCAGTCTGAAACATCAAAGTGTTCTGCTTTCATCGCTTACCTTCTTTCTTTGTGAAGGCATTTAACAAAGACTTCATTTTCCCTTTTTACTTTAGCAGCAATCCCCTCATTATATAACCTTTGCAGGCAAGAAAGAGGCAAAAAAAGATTTAAAAAAATAAAAGATAATAATATTTAAAAAAAAAAACACCAACAATCAAGCTACCCAATTTCTATGTGTTCAGGCTGGCTGCACCCTGACATAAGCAGCAGGTTTCTGGGCACTGTGGAATTGCGAGCATAGCTGGGCATGCAGTACCCAGCGTTCTGGTGACAAAGCCCACCCCACATTCTGTCTGTCAGCTGGGAGCCAACTGTGCACAGACTGGAGCTGCTCAAAAAAAAAAAAAAAAGGGAAGAAGAAAAAAAAAAAAAAGAAAAGCGCTCCCGCTATCTCTCGCAGCATTAGTCATGTGAACCTGCCGCCGCCACAGCCCCGCAGAGCAGACGCGGCTCCCGCTCCCAGCCCCGGGAGCTGCGGGGCAACATTCCCCCATTCCCCTGCCCAGGCGGGAGAGGGGCTGGGGCTGGGCACGGGAGAGCCGGCCAGGGCTGGGAGCTGCCGGGGACCTGCCTTTGGCTCTCAACTTGCACAGCTGCCTCGGTGCTCAGAGCATCCCACTGTTTATTCGCTTGTTGCTATTTATGTGTTTGTTGCTGTTTACTCACTTTTTGCTATTCATTTCCTTTCCCCTATCTGTTTCCTTTTCACTGTTTCTTTTCCCCCATCGATTTCCCCCTCTGCTCTTCACTTTTTGCCATTTATTACCGTTCCCCTATTTATTTATTTATTTATTTATTCCAAAGGACCAATCTGAGGAGAAGCACCAATCGCCCCAAGCTTCACACAATGACCACGTTAAGGATGGAGCCAGACCTGCCACTACATAGAATCTCTCACCTATATTCCAGTTTGAAACAGAGGGAATGATTTTCCTGTATTCCAGTTTCAAACAGAAGGGATGATACAAGCACAATTATTCTCCCCTCCCCTTCCATCGCTCTGGAATAAAACAGAATTTCTTTTTGGACTTCAGAGCACGAGTATGCTTACTTCAGAGTAAGAATACCAAAAGAAAATCGACGAAGCTCGTTTGGTAACTGCGATGCAGATGCCAGGAAATACAACATATAACCAGAGAAGTTTGGAAATTCTTAATTCTGAATGAAAAAGAAACCCAGGGATGACTGTGCTTGGCAGTGCAAACATGCTTCCAGAGGAAGAGCAGATAACTGAAACAGGCATATAGGAAGGAGGGGGAGGTGCTAAAAATCACAAAAATTTTAAGCAGATCTACTTAAATCTATGATGTAAAGATTCCAAAGGATAAGAAATTCACGGTCTAATAAAAAAGAGCAACCTACATTAAAAAATTGCCTTTTAGTAATATAAACTATATAACAGGTAATAAATATTTATTCTATTTCAGGCTTCTTCACTCATCACTAATACATCTATTTGGAAAATCAAGGGGTTTCTTACAGAGAAAACTGCTTCAAGAAAGATAGAAAATAAATTACCTAAATGGATTTAATATCTGTGTGCATAGTGATCTCACAGTTAACATGGAACTGAAAAGAATTAGTAAGCATAAATAAATTTAACAGTTTAAACTTAATTTAACATCACAGTGTTT